CATTCTTACGTGGATGGCAGTTGCTCGCAAACTTCGAGGACTTATGGTAGGTATGTTGCGACAAGTAGCCATTACTGTGCGCTATCTGTGTAGCTGAGGCTCTGGATTCAAGGCGCTCCTGCTCACCCGTGCATACGCTCGTGGCGGTCCGGAACATGTTGCGAACTACAGCTCGTTTTACTGCACTCGGATGCGCTGAGTTGGCATGTAATATAATGTTCTTCGAACTTTCCTTTCGATACCACTTTATACGAATGGTGTACGCAGACAAGCGTATTTGGGTATTGAGAAAGGAAAGCCACCCATTGTCCGGAGTTTGTCTTGTAAGCCTGATATACTGGGACTGCTGACTTAATATTCTAAAACATTCGTCCATTTCGGACTGGGTCGACGTTATAACGCAGCAGTCATCGATGTATCGACAGTACATCAATGGTAGGCGTGCCAATACTGGTTGCTCAATCTTGCTCATGAAACAGATCGCAAGGACTGGGGCTAATCGCTGACCCATCGCCAGTCCTCTAATCTGGGAATAGTAGTTCCCAGACCACTTAAAGATGTTACAGTCCAGGCATTCTTTGATGAGAACCAGTATGGATGCTTTGCTCAAACCGAAGGTCACTATGGTATTATAGTGAGTATCCAACATCTCAGAGAGTGCTTGTAACGCGGATTCATTCTGAATATTAGTGTATAGTGATGTGACATCGAAGGACTCGATAACACTATTTTCACTGATATTCACTTCTTGCAACTGTTTCACGAACTGCTGGGTGTTGGTCAAATGCGAGGGAACCTTCAGGAGCAACTGGCTTACAATTTTATTGAGAAACCATGCTATTCATCCGTGGGTCCTCCAACACAGCTTATTATCGGATGTACCTCAAAAGTAGTCGCAGAGATGGAGTGGAGCTCGCTCGGTGTTATTTTGTGCGTTTTCACCAGATTATAGAATACTGGGCAAACAGGATTATCTAGCTTTAGCCTGCTAATAACTTTCTCATCCAACCTTACTGATCTTGCTACGCTAACCCAAACTTCATTCAGCTTTTTACATTGCATCTAGTATTCCTTTTTAGTGGAGCGCTGATATATTGTTATGTCAGAGAGATGCATTTCTGCGATTTCTCTATCCAATATTTGCGGCATGACTACAAAGTCACCTCCTTTGTCGCTAATGGAAACGCGAATAGAGCGATCTTTTACAGCTTCGCGCACTTCTCTAAACCCTCGCCACTGTTCTCGCGTCAGGTTGTTTTGATGCACATGCTTGAATCTTTGTAAAACCTTCAAAATTTCACTTGAGAGTATGCGAAGTCTAGTATCAACAGAAGGCATCGGCTCTGGTTCTCTGTAAAAGGAGCGAGGAAAGGGTATTGATAATTGTTGTGTGACCGATGGCATGAGTTGTGGGTTACTTTCACGCTTAACTTTAATCCTTAACATGTCACGCAGTCTGTGCAAGTTCCCCATAACTTTGCGGCAGATAGAAGCGTCGATGTTTTGTGACGGTGAAAATGATGGTCCGAGGCTCAAAAACTCTTTCGCATATGGTGATAATTGAACGTTACCAATGACCGTTACTCTTGCATTCTTGTCTTCATTTGGAGCTAGACTTTCTCGAAACTGGTGAACTTCAGTTAAACTTTTCTGGGCATCGCAATGTTTCTCACATAGTGTACTCGAGAGTCGATCGAACTTCGAGCAGAGTCTGGTTTCGCGTTAGACCGAATTGAATCGCAGATTAACTTCGATCCGCTCTCGATCTCCTTCCAAACATTAACAGGTAAATAACGTTTACAAAGCAATTCTTTGGCTTTACATTTCAACAATGTGCTATAAAGAATTCGTTGTCTCTCCTTGATCACTTTCTTCAACATATTGTTTATACAACTTTTTAATCTTCGGGTTGTTTTCGGTGAGACCGCAGGTAGCTCTTAATTTCTTTCTTGAAATGAAAGCGGGAAGGAGGTCGTTTTTCTTGCATCGCTGCAGGAAAATTGCTGCAGGAAAATCGCTCAGTGTCGCCCGTCTACTTTAGCGGCTACTGACTGACTCACTAACACCGCGGTGGAACGTAGGTCAGTTTCAGTTTCTACTACATCAGCGTGTGACTCAGTACGTTGCCCTCGAGACGAAATCCAGACTGACTGATGTTTGGGGATTGCGTTTGGCGGTCTTATTTCGCAGATAAATAACTGCAATCTACTTCAGACCTCCGAAGACGACGACTTTGTCGAAACGTAAGGTCAATAAATGATCTCTGCTCCGGAGGTACGCCAGATTTGGGAGAGCCCCGGAGCACAAAATGGGAGATCTCCGGAGCACAAAATGGGAGGTTTCCGAAGCACAAAATGGGAGGGCTCCGGAGCACAAATGGGAGGGCTTCGGAGGACGAGTGGCAAAACCCCGCTGGGGAAACGCAGCGGCTCTGCCATTTCTGCTCCGGAGGTATGCCGTCGACTGTCTGACTAGTCACTTGTAGTAGCTTCTTTTCTGGCCCTTCTACTTTGCAAAAACCATACTTTTGCCTCTAAAAGTAAAAACGCGTCGCGTGAACTCTTTCCGAGGTTTTACTAGGCTGCTCTGTAGCCTAGTGTTCTACTTGTAGGCGCTTCGCGCAGAGCAACGGGAGTTCGACCACCGACCTAGTCGGAGTGTTTTACGATGAAGCGTATGGCGACTCCTCAACAAGTATAGTAGCTCCGTAAGTAGCAGGACGAAACTCCGAGTTTCAAAAACGAAACTTGGACTTAACTCTGTTAACGCGTAGCTTTATACTCGGAGTTTCGACCAGATTACTACCGGCCCTGCTTTTTTCTGAAGCAGGCTGACTTTTACGCATTCGAAAGCAAAAATTGCGCCGATCATTTTTTTTTGTTTGAACACGGGAGAAGCCCTGGGTGCAAATGATTTTTACTCTGAGACGTAGTTGTGCAAGAAATCCGGGAGTTTAAGAATGATGTAGAAAACAAGTGGGTCAATGATCTCGGTCAGCTCTGGCTGAAACATTTCCTATATAATCCTAGCCATAAACTTCTCAGTTCAGAATCGACGATATAGTATGCTGGGCTATGCACAACAATAAAACAACACAGCACTTTTATCAAGAAAAAGGCGGAATACAACCAGTTTTACAACGTATTAATAAATGTGCAGCTCAGCTGCAACTCAGAATCCGTGTGAGATTTCCGCGAAGCGTTACGGCTTGACGTCAATCACCAATTCAAGAGCTCGCCTTTTAGCACTCTCGGCGCAATCTACCCTAATTGCACGTACAAGGAGCACTTTTCCTATTTTCTAGTGAGCCGCTCAGCCGCTCCTCTCGGTTTCAAAAAATCCTTATGCCGCACGATTTTCTCAGACATTAGGCAACACTATATAGGGTTGGTTGATCGCAAAGTCCTTTGGGTGTGTGGACTGGTCAATTCTGAAAAAAAAACCGCGCCCCTTGTACGCGTGAAATTACGGTACTTATACCAACGAGTCGCGCATGTGTCTACCCACATCCTATTTCCCCATTTTGCCATTTTAACAGCGGACAATATTGTGAAGCGCGGCATGCGCAAAAGTGGGCGTAATATGAATGGTGAAATGTGGCTTAGTTTGGTGTGCGTAATTGGCGCCGCGCTCCACTGCAACCGGTCTGCTCTAGCTCAAATGAAATTGTTCAGCGGATGTCTGAAAAAACTGAAATGGGGACGAGTATATACGAAATATAACAGCTGCTTATTTATCTATTTCCAAGGACAAAAGTTAACGATATCAGTGAATGGATGGAAGAACGGATAAACGAAGTCTAAAGAGACTAATCGTGTGATGGAATCTAACAAACTCTAAACTGAATTTAACAAGCCAGGAAGTGGTGCCCTTGTGATCAAAAAACGTATTTTTCGACATCGCTTATGTCAAGAACGGCTGTTAGAACAACTCTCCCTATCGTAATCCTGAATTTGTATAAAACTTTTCAAGCGTTCCTTCAGCTTCGACCGCAATCGAACTGACCAAAACCAAAACTGAAAAGCTTCAAAAAGACGGAGAAACCCCAGTATTTGTACTCGTTGAGGTATCTTAACGCAAGAAAAAATCCTACGCGCTCTCCTCACCTGTGTTTTTTGGCAATATCCAGCAATCTTGAAAATTTATTGTACTGCATTGCTATGCATGCACCATCTTTAGCACAGGACAGCGCTACCTGCAATGAAAAGACAAACATTTTGTGCGGTGCTGCTTTAATCAAAACAATAACCTGTTATAATCGGCAGTACTGAACAAACGACTTACCATTATAGTCTGGGCGGCACCTCTTCCTAAAAAAATGTCTTCATGCGTGACAAAATTCTTTTGAGCTATTTCAGTTCCTCTTCTTCTCACACAGACTGCTGTTGTTGTGAGCGAAGATCATGGTATTATTCTTGCTGTGAACAATTCTATTTTAGACTTAGGTATAAATGTTAGCGGTAGTGTCCGGGCAAAACCACGTTATAAAATCCACTTGCCGAGGGTTATCCGCAACGCTACATTAGAAGGCGCGAAAACCTCGAAAACATGCGCTTTCCAGAGCATTAAAATTTGAAATTTGACGGTCCCCGCCAAAGCTGAGACGCAGAGTTCAGGGACCCCACCATTTTGATTGTGGTGGTACTCAGACACTCGCACCGGCCGGCGGCCGCTCCGTAAATCTGGGCGGAGCTAAATGCCGGCCGGTGGCCGCTCCAAAAAAATCATACCGGCTCGTGGCCGCTCGAACGGCCGTTAACCGGTAACATTGCCATGTCGCGGGAAGTGAGCGGGATTTGAAAATTGCATGATTGAGCTGCGTAAGCAACACTCTACTTCTCCTTTTTTTATAATTGAGTGCAATTTTTCCACTTGTTTACGTAATTCATCGTTAGAAGAAAGATTTTTATGCTTATCACTCAAAAATATTTAGAATTCCGCAGTGATGTTATTCTATCTTTGCTAACACCGCTCTCTTCAGCTTACCATTGCTTGCACTCGCTGTTTATCATCCCACTCCATGATGGAGCATATGACCTTTTGACTAACTCTCCATGTGTCTCAGCACTATGCATTCATGAATTACGGGTGTACCACATATACACACATTTCTATGGGAGCTGGAATCTATCTAGCTCGTGTTCTATTGCAAGAACTGACCTTGCGCCTAACTCCTAGTATAGACTCCACAAGACAGGTGCGTTCTTATCAAAATTCGACTGGAACTAGTCTTTGTGAGTTTCAGGGAGGACAACATTTAGGAGTGTTTGCTACAATTGCTTGAGCTTTGCTTGAGCTTTCTGTATATCTACTGATGTTGAATAAATCTCATGTTCTACGGATTCCCGGTATTCCAATGTCTATCTTTGTATACACTGCAAAAGGTAAGTGGGTTTACACCAATCATTTGACAGAAACTAATCTTGGTGAGTGGCTTAGGGGAAACATTCACTGAACGCCTCCTGGAATAGGTCTTTGGGTTGCTCCGCTCACTGACATAGCAATTCCTGAGCAGGTAAGTCTTGGTATCAATGATCTTTTGTCAAAAGCTTATCTTGTTTGCAGATGTCTGCTGTGTGGCATTCACCCTAAAGAATACGAGAGTGCAGCAACCAGTCAACTCGGAATGGGCAGCGAGCGGTCCGATGTGCTATCTTCTGCGTCGACTGGATGTTCTCATGTACAAAAGACGTCATCTTCTCGTAGACATAAGAAACGTTTAAATTTTATAGCTTCATTAGATATTGTGTTAGACTTTACGTATTAGTCTTATTTGTAATCAATCCCTCACATCAATCCCTCCCCTAAGTATGCTTATGAAATAAATGGAGATGTTTTTTGCGGTTCTGTACTATGTTTCGTGATTGGAGGGGTGGGGGGGGGGGGCAAAGCGCAAGCTGCAAAGCGAAGAAGAATCGCGCCTCACAACCATTTTGGTGCGCGATTGACACATACCGGCCGGCGGCCGTCCGAATACCGGTCGGCGGGCGTAGACTACGCGGCTGAGTGAAATGACCTGTGGTCCCGCCAGCCGGTCTTCGTGCGGCCGCCGGCCGGTGCGAGTGTCTGAGTATGCGTATTCTCCCGCACAGCAGGAATTCAAACAGATCGGAGGACCCGCCCAAAGGCGTAGGTTTCCCCACTTCCCGCGTTTGTCTTGTTTTAGGTCGAATGTTATAACCTCGTACTTGCTCGATGCTGTTTCTGACCACATTCGTATGGCGCTGGAATGCCAAAATCCCGACCTTATCCAGACACCGCTTTTGACCAATTCAGCAATAATAAAGGAACGTGTGCAATAAAATTTGAATAAGCACTTATGAGGCAGTTAACGAATGTGGTTAATTCCAACTCGAGAATTAGGGATTGATTAGAGTTTCCTTCCATTTGCACAAATACATTATTTTTTGTTTACGTTGTGGGCAAAACAAATCTCACCCATGTGTTCCATGCATAATGTTCCTTCTATGTTTGAGATTTGAGGTATGGATGAGTGGGATTTCTAATGGCTCCACTTTTCAAACACGAAGTCACTTAAGATTTGGAAGCCAATTTATGCGCATGACAAACACGAGCGATAAACTTTTGCTGTAAACGGAACATAATGGCAGTTACACTAAAGAATGATCAACTGCCAAAAACGAAATCAACTAAGGAATGTTACAATAATTCTCTTCATGATTTCCAAACAACTTTAGATCTTATAGCCTTGTACACATGACAGTAAACGAAGTAACTTACTCAGGACTAGCTCTGCAACTTTTCGATGCAAATTAGTGAAAATATAGAGAAAGTACGAACTAGTTTTGGACATCTTCTATATTATTGTCTGAATCCGTGCCTGTAAAGAGCTATCCACTCCGATAGTGATTGTAATACTCAAATAGGGGAAATCAATACTGTGCTATTATGCTAAATAATCTTGTGCTATTCTGTTTTGCTTAAGTGCATGGTGATTGCGAATTTGACATGACTTTGAATCCGAGCGATTAGTATCAAGGTGGCAGCGCTATAAAAGACCCGATCAGGTGAGATGTTTGCATTATGAAGCTTCTCCTCTTACTTCTTGTACTTCCCCCGTTGAGCATTGCGGCTTCTTTGGCAGAAACAGAAAAGCAATTCTGCTCTGAAGGATGCCCAATACCTACTAAAAACGGAGGGTCCGAATGCTAAGGTCAACGTGAAGGTGGGTTCATCTTGCTTATTTCCAAGATTGGAAGATGCTTTTCAAGAAAATGATGGACAAGTGTAAGAAAGACTCCAAAGTGCCAAAAATAGTCTGTGAAGTGATGAAGAAAGAAATGAAGAAAGACAAGTTCATGCTGATGGTTTGTCGACAACGATTGGTTTCTAGTTTCCAATGATGTGTGTGTGTGTCTGTTTTAGCTTGTGGAATGGGGCTACACATGGAAACAGCTTTGCGATCTTTGCAAGTAATTGTGTCTCTTGTGTCAAATGCAAGCTATCTTCACAATAAAATGAGGGAAACTTCTCTTGGTTATCAATCGCCGATGACCTCTATCCGAAGTTGGTGACTGAAGTAACATCGGGACGTAGTCTAAACGGAACGAGAAGCTCTTTGCATAAGACCGGTTCTTATCATCGGGAAAATTAGTAATTGCTGCTCTATCCGAATCTCATTTTTGTGCACGTCAAAGACGTGCTTGTATCAAATTCATTCCATTATTACGAATGCGGTTTCTAGTTTTTGGATTGCAAGTAATTGCTGATAGTGCAAAACAAGCTCTGCCATACGTATTTGAACAGTGGCAGAAAGTCTGGTCCGGAAGTCTCAAGCCAATTGCATAATTTCAATCAGGGATAACACAAAAGTTTCCTTTCCCGCGGAAACTACACAATCATACTTCTTATTTTACGTGAGCCAAACCAAATCTTAAGCGTGCATTCCACGCATTATGTTAAAAACTAGCTGGCTTACCCGGCTCCGCCCGGCCCTGTCAATGCTATGATTAAGGTTTCATCCCTATCCCTGTAGAACCTTTCATTGTGCCCACTTCTACATGCAATTCCCTATTCCCGCTGTGTTAGTAATTAGCATGCCCACCTACCTCCCTCAACAACCCCCCGCCCCGTAGCTCAAACTTTGCAAAAAAGCAATAAAACCGGTAAAAGTAAGGATGATTCTGAAAACTGATGGCGCTATTCGGCTATTCAACCCCATAATGTTTTTATGATGGATCTTGCTCAAAGTCGGTACATGGGGATTATTAAAGCTGCTGATGACCGTAGTCATTTCGCGCGATAGCACCATTTTCTGGGTTTAGTTGGGTACACATAAGAAGCTAAAATCATGGATTTCGCTGAAACTTTGAGGGGGGCTAGTTGACATGCTGATTACGAATATCATACTCCTTCGGCATTTTGAGGCGATTTCACTGAGTTATGGTAGGTATACTGCAGAGGGGCGAAATCTCAGTTTTGGCTGAAACTCGGTCTAGAGAGATTCGACCTTCTGACCACATCTAAAACACTCTCGTTGCGTTTTGAGACATTTTCACAGAGTTACGGTAGGTACATGGCAGCGGGTAAAAATCATGAACCTGCCTGAAACCTTGGCAGAAACAAGGTAAGTCATTTGCACAATGACTTACCCGTTCAGGTCGCGAAATTTTTGAAAGTTACTTATATGAGTTATAAAAATCTGCAAATGACTTGTTTATTTTTGTAAACAATTAAAATAATTTTTAAAATTTTTTAAAAATTCAAACTAGCCTTATAAAAAAATTTTTTTCGGGGGCGTGGCTGACGCCACGCCCCCTTTTTCCAGATTTCAGGGGTTGGGGGCCCGCAAAAATTTTGAGAAGCCCCCCTAAAATTTTTTCGGAGTGCGTGGCTGACGCCACGCACCTTCATTTGAAAAAAATTTTTGCCGCGCCCCCCCGAGCCGAAATCCTGGGTACGCCACTGATACATACATACATACATACAGACAGACAGACAGACAAACAGAGATTCAGCTTTATATATAAAACTAGCGACCCTACGGGCCGCTAGTAAGTGGGTGGTGGCAGATACATTGATATCTGCCATTAATTAACTAAAAATCCCAAGAAAGAGAATTTCCATCTTCCCAGCGACCTTTCGTGTGTTGTGAGTAGTAGAAACAAAACACTATGCTCTTAGGAAAAGAAGCTACTACAAGTGACTAGTCAGACAGTCGACGGCATACCTCCGGAGCAGAAGTGGCAGAGCCGCTGCGTTTCCCCAGCTGCCACTCGTGCTCCGGAGCCCTCCCATTTTGTGCTCCGGAGACCTCCCATTTGTGCTCCGGAGCCCTCCCATTTTGTGCTTCGGAAACCTCCCATTTTGTGCTCCGGAGATCTCCCATTTTGTGCTCCGGGGCTCTCCCAAATCTGGCGTACCTCCAGAGCAGAGATTTGCGCGTCCCGGAGAGGGATCCCACTCGCCTGCTTGTGACGTCACCGTGACCTACAAGAAGGGACCGCCCCTCGCTCAATGGTCAATTGGGTCCTCCGCGGCTCTGCCAGATTTCTACTGTCCTCCGGAGGTACGGCACCGACTGTCTGATTATCCGCAAAGCATCTCTGCTGTTCCTCTTGCAGATACCTTCGCCCAGATAGCACAGCTGTTAAACAAGGAAGCTACTTCCAAGCACCTATTAAGAACAGCTATTCATTCCAAAACTCAGATTGATTTCCAGGAAAGGTGCCATGTTAAGGAAATCGCCAAGTTATGTCGCCCAGCAGCCGAAAACTCACAATGGTCAGAAGTCGAAGTGGCCAATCCATACAAGCTGCATACCTTTAGATGCAGCATAAAACGCTGACTCTAAATCTGCTTTTTTTATCTGCAGAGCGCTTTTGTGGACGAAATTATAAGCCGTTGAATCTCATTATTTTGCTAAGAAATTGTGCGTGTAAAGTGCAAACTTGGCAGTACAAAGCCATTCTCGGCTCAGTGTTGGAACAAAACATGCAACTAGGTCACTTCAAATGACCCGTACCTAAAGTTGAGCTACAAGAGCAATAATGTGCTAATTTTGCAATTTTCGTACACGGTTTTCGCAGTAAAGCTGCTCATAACTTCGCCTACAAAGGCGCTCTGCGGATATGGAAGACAGATATAAAATCAGCACTTCATGCTGCATCGAATGGTATGCAGCTTGTATGGATTGGCCACTTCGACTGTTGACCATTCCCTTGTCAGATATGTAGATAAAAACATAGCAGCATTTTCTTCGATGATGTCTTACCAGTGAACGGACTCATTTCTTAGAACAGACTAAAGCTGGCCCAACGCCTTCTTCTGAAAGACAATCCTACCGAAACTGTTTTGTTGCATAAAACCCTAGGTCTTTCCTTTCCTCAAAACCAAGCTCCTTATGCTTTCGCTTTTAGGGGCAGAAGTATGGTTGAGAAGAAGGGGCCGTAATTTTTCCAGCAAGTTTCTTTTTAATTTATTGACACCTAAAAATTCTTAGCGCAAATATCTTGCTGCCTGAGTCCTGAGTCTTTTCTTCCCTCAAGATTAAGCCCCCGTTGTAGCGAAGAAAAGGCCAAAGTTTTCAGAGAAGATAATTTCCTGTCGCAAGAAGCTCATGGGTCTGTCTTTCCCTCGAGACCATTCCTGCCTTCATAGGCAGAAGTCTGATTTTTGCAGAGTAGAATGGCCACAAGTGAATTTCAAACAGTTTCTGTAGAATAAACATTGACACCCAGGAATTCAGCGAAAGTATCTTACTGGATGAGCTTATGAGTTTCTTCCACTCGAGACCGAGCTATCTGTGCTATTTTGCTTTTAGGGGTAGAAGTATGGGTTCTGCAGAGTAGAATGGCCACGAATTTCAAACAAGTTTCTGTATAATAAAACATCGACACCCAGAAAGTTCTGGCGAAAATATCTTGCTGCTTGAAGCCATAATTCTTTCTTCCCTCGAGACCAAGCTCCTTGTGCTTTTTTGCTTTTAGGACCAGAAAAGTGGTTTTTGCGAAGTTTGGGAGTCAAACGTCTTACAAGGGAATGGTCAGAAGTCGAAGAGGCCAAACCAAACAAGCTGTATACCATTCAATGCAGTATAAAACGCTGACTTCGAATCTGTCTTTCGTATCTGCTTCCCGCTTCTGTGGACGAAGCTACAAGCGGTTTTATTGTGAAAAAATCACACATAAAAACAGCGAAATTGAGCACACTGTTGCATTTTTAGCTCAGCTTCTTTCTTTAAAAATTTGAAATAGGCTAGCTGCATGTTTTGGTCCAGCATTAAGGCGAACGTGGCTCTGCACGGCTAAATTTTCAATTTCACGCGTAATTTCTTAGCAAAATAATGGTCTTTAATCGCTTGTAGCTTCGTCCACAGAAGCGGGAAGCAGATAAGAAAGACAGATTCGAAGTCAGCGTTTTATACTGCATCGAATGGTATACAGCTTGTTTGGTTTGGCCACTTCGACTTCTGACCACTCCCTTGTTAGCGAAAATGTCCTGTCGCAAGAAGCTCATGGATCTGTCTTTTCCTAGAGACTAAATTCTTTGTGTTTTTCTGCTTTTAGGGGCAAAAGTACTGGTTTTTGCAAAGTCTAGGGGTCAAACGCCTTGGCGAAAATGTTTGTCGCATGAAGCTCATGATTCTGTCTTTTCCTCGAAACCAAGCTATCTGTGCTGTTTCGCTTTTAGAGAAAGAAGTGTGGTTTTTGCAGTAGAATATCCAGAAGTAAATTTTAAGCAAGTTTTTGTATAATCATTGACACCCAGAAACTTTTGGCGAAAATAACTTTTTGCCTGGAGCCATGATCTTTCTTCCTCCGAGACTAAATTTCCTGTGCTTTTCTGCTTTAAGGGGCAGAAGTACTGGTTTTTGCGAAGTCAAACATCTTAGGGAAAATGTCCTGTCGGATGAAGCTCATGGGTCTGTCCTTCCCTCGAGAGCACTTTGTGCTTTTTTACTTTTAGAGGCAAAAGTATGGTTTTTGCAAAGTAGAAGGGCCAGAAGTAAATTTTGAAGCAAGTTTCTGTATGAATAAACATTGACACCCAGAGATTTCCAGCGAAAGTGTCTTGCTGGCTGAGCTTCTGAGTCTTCCCCCCCCCCCCCCGAGACCAAAAGGGCCAGAAGTAAATTTCAAGCAAGTGCTGTATAATCACTGACACGCAGAAACTTCTAGCGAAAATATCTTGCTGCCTGAGGCCATATTCTTTCTTCCCTCGAGACCAAGCTCCCTGTCTTTTTTGCTTTAAGGACCAGAAGTGTGGTTTTTGAGTTTGTGGTTTTTGCGAAGTTTGGGGGCCAAAAGTTTCAGAGAAAATGTCCTATCGGATGAAGCTCATGGGTCTGTTCATCCCCAGAGACCACTTTTCTGCTTTCGGAGGCAGAAGTATGGTTTTTGCAAAGTGGAAGGGACAGAAGTAAATTTCAAGGAAATTTCTGTATAACTAGATATTGACTCGTAGAGATTCTTAGTGGAATTATCTTGCCGCCTCAGTTTACAAGCCTTTTCTTCCCTCGAGACCAGGCTCTT